AAAAAAAAAAAAAGAATACTGGGGGAGCTGGGAGAAGTAGAACCTCTCAGAAAAAGCCTTTAACCAAGATGCGAAGGGTATTCCAGGACAAAAGAACAGACTATGTGAAGACTTAAGAGGCAGGAAAAATTCAACCACAAAACTGGGAGATCTACTACCTTGGCTTCTGTGATATCCCTAGAATATTCACTACTGCTGTTACTGATATTTAAATGATAGTAACAAATACTGCAACAAGATATAATCAGAAAATTATATCAAAGTCAAAGCACTTGATGTCAATGGAATGGTATTTACCAATTTTAATGTTGTCACTGATGGGACTGGATGCAACTATTTAGTCAGATGTAATAGTAACTTAAGCAAAAATTTAAATAAACATGCTACAAAGCCCTGCATTCCATTACAAAAAAAAAAAAAAGAGAGAGAGAGAGAGAAGTCCCAGTGTGCAGGAAGAGAGGGAAGGGCAGAATTGAACTATTGCTGGGCAATCCAGGAATCACCACAGGAGTGGCAATCAGGCCAATGCTTGAAGAATGGGAACAAGAGATGACCCATAGCAGATGTGATAATGCTGTATTCCCTGATTTTCTCAGTCATATCCATTGTGTGTGTGTACATTAAGCTGTTCCGTGTTGGTCTCTGTGTGCCCAACTTGTTTTGTAAAAAAGAGCAGATAGAAGGGCCAGCTGGTGGCATGGTGGTTAAAGATCTTGACTCTCACATGGTCAACCACAGTTTGAGTCTCAGACTGGGTGGCTTGAAAATCATGACAGACACATGTGCATGTTTGCCCAAAGTCCCAACAGAAGAAAAAGGGATTAAGATGTAGTCATTCCCTCTGGTGGATGATTTCTCACTTTCCCTCTCTCTGTCTCTCTGGTGAGCACACATACCCTATGGCAAAAACCTAAAAAAAAAATAATAAAAAAGGAAATAAAAAGAGGGAGCAGGCAGAGGGCCAGAGGCACAGCAGTAATGCAACTGGACCCACATGGGAAGGTCCCCGGTTCATGTCCCCGGAGTGCTCACACAGCCCTGTGATCCAGGCTGACTGAGGCTGGAGGTGGATCGTGACATGAGGTCCCTGCTGGAAGTGCCCTCTTCCTCTCTCTTTCTGTCTCTCTCTCTCTCATGGAAAAAAAATAAATATGTAAACTTATTAAAAGGACAAGTGGAGGCAGTGGGACTTGGTGTACCCAGACGTTGTGGTCCAGGAGTTCAGATCATCACCCACAAGAGCACGGGCATCCTTGGAGAGTGTGACTCATTATCAGAAAACCTAGGTTGGGCAAGGCTCCATTGTTTACAAGCTTCATGATTTGGAGCAAAGAAACAAGCCAATTTGAGCCTCAGATTCCTCAACTTAAAAATAGGAGTAAGAAGTTATAGAGTTCAGGGAAAACAAATTCATTCTACCTATAAAAACATTTTATAGCATAATAATTTTTGATGTTTTATATTTTTTTATTCCAGAGAAAAGTTCTGATGACCACTATCTACTTGGGACATAGCTGATCCTTGAATACCACAGATTTGAACTGTGGGGTTAACTGATACACAGATTACTTTCCTTTTTTTTTTTTTAACCTAACAACAAATTTATCACTTTTAAAAATTTATTTCAAATGTATCACTTTTTAAAATGAGAGCTTTTCCCATAAGTGAAAAAATTTGAAGCACGTCCAGTGTCTCTGCACTCTCACTTTGAACCCTTGATCCTAAGATACCTACTCTTCTCTCAAACCTCTTTGACTCTCTGGAAACCCAGTGGTGCTTTATGGATGGAGGGGTCCCTCTGTACTGGGTTCCTCCCTGCCCCTCTCCTGAGCTTTCAGGAAGGGTCTGCAGGCTTTCGTGTGTCCCCAAGGGGCCTAGCCATGACTGAGACTGTGGCTGTAAACCCCGAGTGGGCAGGGTACTGGGTTCTATGCTCTCACAGCTCCTGTTGCCTTGGGTGACACTTAAGTGTCACTGAGTGTCAGTGAACTGAACTCTTTCATTGTGGTCTTCATGATCCTTGTCATCTTCCATTGCCATGGAGATATTGCCAAAGTGGACTTGGGAAGTGGTTGGGGATCCACCTTCATTTAGCTCTTGGGATGGCTGGTCCCTGGTCAGCTCGAGGACTGCAGAGTGGACAGTGTCTCTAATCTGCTCCTCTGCCTGGAGTCAAGAAGTGGCTCCAATACCAGATTGTAGACTAGATCCTCAGGGCTATTATCTTGCTCCGTGGCGGGGATGGCAGCCACTGGATTGAGACTGCAGAGGACCTGGCTGGGGCAGGTGTGCTCTCTTTCACTTAGTTCTAGACTCCACCCCAGCCTGGCCTTTTTTGCAATACATAAATAAAACACCGGGGGGGGGGGAGGGCTCCTATAATTTAAAAATAAAATGTGATTTCTTTTTCATGTTATTTTTTCATTTTCAATATGTAGTACTGCTATGTATAATATCTGTAGTATTTTATATCATAAGAGACATATTGATGTGGGTACTTAGAAATAATTCATCTTGCAAACATAACTAGACAACCTAAACTTAGGGATTGTTAAATACAGTATGGCACTGTAAATGTATTTTTATCTTCATTATGATTTTTTTTTACTGCCAGAGAGTGCATGCACACACCAGAGAGAGAGAGATAAAGCACTCCCCATGGGCATGATTATACTGCTTTTCCTTCATTCCATCAGGATCCTGGGTACACATGCGCATATACCTGGTATGTTTCTCAGGCCTCAGGGAATGGGACACCAATTGCAATTGGCCATTGCCATGTGGGATCTAGCTCCGATTGCAGGTTTAACCACTGCACTGGGGGGGGAGGGGTTTAGCAGGGTGGCCCCCTTATGATTTTCTTAAGAAATTTTCTGTGCTCTAGCTTACTTATTTCAATAATACAATATATAATATGTATCACCTGCCACATATAAAATTTGTGTTAATCAACTGCTTATGTTATGGGTAAGCCTTCTGGTCAAAGGTAAGCTATTAGTCATGAAGGCTGGGAGGAGTCAAAAGTTGCATGTGGGTTTTCACGTGGAGAGTCAACAACCCCATGCTGTTCCAGGGTCTGCTGTACTCCCCTTTATCACACAAATGGTTGCTTTTCCTCTCATGCCTCTGATCTAGTTGCATGTCTTCAGCCCTCAAACCATTTCAAAACACAACTAAATGTTCACACTTTCTGAAAGCCGTGGTATTTTAATTATCATGGTTATTTAAAGTTCCTAATACTGCCTCAGACACTAAGTTTCAACTACTAATTAAATACCTAGTCAGTCACTATTAATATTCCTGGGTAATTTAAAAAAACTGATCCAGAATGTTTCCCAAATTTTAAAAAATGTTTAATTTAAAATACTTCTTATTTCAATAATACAATATATAATATGTATCACCTGCCACATATAAAATTTGTGTTAATCAACTGCTTATGTTATGGGTAAGCCTTCTGGTCAAAGGTAAGCTATTAGTCATGAAGGCTGGGAGGAGTCAAAAGTTGCATGTGGGTTTTCACGTGGAGAGTCAACAACCCCATGCTGTTCCAGGGTCTGCTGTACTCCCCTTTATCACACAAATGGTTGCTTTTCCTCTCATGCCTCTGATCTAGTAGCATGTCTTCAGCCCTCAAACCATTTCAAAACACAACTAAATGTTCACTTTCTGAAAGCCGTGGTATTTTAATTATCATGGTTATTTAAAGTTCCTAATACTGCCTCAGACACTAAGTTTCAACTACTAATTAAATACCTAGTCAGTCACTATTAATATTCCTGGGTAATTTAAAAAAACTGATCCAGAATGTTTCCCAAATTTTAAAAAATGTTTAATTTAAAATACTTGAGTTCTTGAAAATGTGGAGCACGTTCTATAAATAACAGCAATGGAATATTAAAGCCCACCTAAGGTGCACACACAGCCAACCGTCAGGACCCCAGACAAGCCCTGCCTCAGGTTGAGTCACACAACACAGCAATCCCCCCAATGGAAAACCTAGATTTTGCCTCCTGTTGGCCCCATGCCATGAAGAAACCATGATGAGGAATGGTCTCATCCAGCTCATTCCCAGGTCAGAGGGTAGGTGGGAGCTGGTGGGCGACCTAGCCAGGAGCCAGCAGCTTTAGAGTGGTACATCTCTCATTTCCTGTTTACCCCAGTGGGGGGCAGAGACTCCTGGACAGAAGACCACAGCAAAGAGGAAGTCACCCCTAAATGACGAAATACATCCAGCCAACTTGTTACTACTGGATTATGATTCTGGCTTAGTGATACAGAAACATAATCCAGAAAGCTTGCTCCCTTAAAGAACAATAGTCACCTGTCAGGTGAGTAGAATTCAGTCACTGGCTTTCACTGCCTGTCACCAGTCAGAATTCAAAAATAACTAAATGCTCTTTCTCTCTCTCTCCCCTCTCTTCTCATATTTCTTCATTGAACACAGAGTGGCCAAAAGCATAAGTAATAAAGCATGCTGCATATCTCTCAGTACCTCTTCCAAGGTGGTGTCTGAGATTCCATAGCCTGTCAGGTTCAGATGAGGCAGGCTCTGGTCCAGGGCCTGGAAGAGCCCTTTGAAGCAGGTCCTGTCCGCGTCCTTTGGTAGGGTGTAGGTCAGCTCAGCCTCACTGCTGTCCTTTAGAAATGCTTGTGGGATGTAGAGCTGTATCAGGGACGTAACACGAGCTATGTCCTTTGGGTCATAGGCCTCCAGAACAGAAGGCTATTAAGAATAAATAAATAAATAAGTTGGAATGAGAAACAAGAAATGACAACCCAAATAAACATCACTTAATTTCATGTATATACATAAACATAATAAATACATAAATATTTCAAAAATTCTACTTTGAAGCTTAAATGATAAATATCACACTTAAGCATTACATAATTCAGGAATAGTTGTATTTTTCCCTTTTTTTTGAAAGAGAGATTTCTTACATGCTTACCAGAGAGACAGAGAGAAAGAAAGCAAGAAATCACTCCCTAGGGGAGTTTGCCATGCTATAATCCCTTCTCCTCCATTTTCTCAGGATTTGGGGCACCTACTCACACATGACCAGCCTGAGTTTCAAACTGCTGGGTCTGGAACTCGAACCATGATCGACCATATGGGAGACCAAAACCTTAACCACTATGCCATCTGCTGATCCTTTTTAAAAAAAAAAAATGTAAATCCACAGTGATAAACCTGCAGAGACCAGACTTGCACACCCATATTTGTTACTGTACAGCCTGTAGCCAGACTCCAGGAGGGCTATATTCATGAGAGGCCCCCAGTTTCCTGGGAGAATCATGAAGGAGATTCTCTGGGCCTAAAAACTGAACTTACCAATAGGACATAGAGTTGAATCTTCTGAAAAAGACCAGACTTCCCAATCTCGAAAGAAAGGTGCCTCCTCAAGGTGACAAAAAGTCACCTGAATTAAAGAAAAAGAAACGAGGAACTTTGGCTCATAGATCAAAGTCAGACCTTTCAAGGGCCACCAAAAGTCAATAATCATCAAAAGTCAGGGAGAGACTTCCCACTCACCCCTACACCCCAACCCCAGAGTGACCACTGCCTGACCCAGTTGGCACAGACAATAATAACTACAAATGTGGCAAAGAGTTGCCCTCTTGGATCCTGCCCCATTTGTTCTAGCTCTTCATGGCCCTGCTTCTACATTATGGCAAAATTTTATCTTCCTATGTGGAATATCATCAGAAAAATATTTTTAGAATACCTGGATTATGATACCTACTGTCCAGACAGTTGTAGGAACTCCTACAATCTACCAGGCAATTCTAGCCCTTTCTGTTTATTTCAGGTGGCAAAATGCACTCTTGTATTCACCGAGGCCAGCACCTGTTTTAGCCACTGAGCTGTTGCACAGAGGCCTCCGCTAAGACATCACCATTGCATAGCTCACAGTTTGTTTCTTATGCCATGAGAAGAGGGGGATTTCCCCAGTGAAACAAAACGATTGTTCTTCTTTTTTATTTTTATCTTTTTGTTAGGGATTTTTGCTATAGGGCCTGTACACTCACTGGAGAGACAGAGAGAGACAGAGAGACAGAAAACAATGTGAAATCACACACACACACACCCTGCCCCAGAAGGGGATGGCCATGCCACAATCCCTTCTCCTCTATTCTCTTCTTGATATCTTGGGTACACATGCACGCATACCCAGCGTGAGTTTTTAGCTGCCCAGCTGAAGACTCAAGTGGAATGCATGGGAGTTCACAGCAATGTAACCATTTTGCCATCGGCTGGTCCCATGGCTGTTCTGCTTACTTGTTTTGTGAGGGTCAGGCTGAGCCCCGGGCTGTATGCCTCCTTCAGGCAGAAGGGAGGACCGCAGCACCTGAGCCGGCCCTGCTGCAGGACAGCCACGCGGTCGCTGAGCACTTCAGCCTCATCCAGGTGGTGAGTTGTGAAGATGATGGTGCGACCTGGATGCAAGCACAGGCGTGTCATGACCAGTGTGACAAAGGCATCAACAAAAGTGGCCTTTCCTTCCTTGGAACAGCAGATGGAAACATGATTTAAAGATTGCAACCAATTTTTAAATCAGAAAACATTGAAATGGACCCTTTAGAAACGAATTAACCAAGGCCACTTTACAATTAGAGGCCCTGAAACTTTCCTTTAGAGCTACCCCTACAGTCATGACTACTGCTTCTCTAAATGTTCCACTCCCCTCAAGAACCAAAGGGGTGCTCTGACAGGTACTGGTGATTAAACTGGGGTGTCCCCGCCTCAACCAGAAGCATAAATGATGATGTGGTACCAGGATAACCATCTAATATTCCAGAGCTTGAAACAGGCTGTGATGATCCTTGGGGATGCAGAGTAGTGAGCATCTGAGAAAAATTGGTAATGAAAAATTTTCTTTCTAACCAGAAAGTATATCCCCCCAAACAGCAGCTATCATTAAATTTTCCCAGACTCACAGTTTTACAGTGAAATAAAGTGAGATTCAGACAGACAATCAACTTCCACACCATCCTGGGTTTTCCCACAGGAAGATTATTTCTGCCTTAACCCACAGAAAACATTGCAAGTGCCTCAACAACTGAAATTCCTGAAGTTAGAGACAAGAGGGAGAGGCAGCGAGCAGCCTCAGGGTAGTAAACTAGGAATCAGCAATCCATTTTGGTAGAAACAGAGAGGCTTTCTGCAGGGCCCTACCGATCTCCCCACATGGTCCACATGCTCTCTTTGGGTATATCCACCAGGCTCACTCAGGATGGGCACCATATCGAACTCTGAACTTCAGGGAGACTAGTAGCCAACCTGACCCAGAGCACTATCTAGTGCTGAACAAGAGGGAGTGATCTTTGGCTAAGGTAATTCAACAGTCAGCATGCACGGGATCTCCAAACAGACAGACCTACTTCAGAAAATCAACACAAGCCAGTCTAGATGGCAAAGACAGGAAGAGGTGCTTAATCCTTCGATGTAAAGAACAGACATATGCCCAGAAAAAGTAACAATAAACAGGGAACCGTGACCTTGCCAAAAGACAAAAGAAGGTGCCAATAATTGTTCCTAATGAAAACAATAGATGATCTTTCAGATCAAGAATTCAAAAAGCAGTTATAAGGAAATTCAGCGATTCTCAAGAAAATGAAGAAAATCAATTCAGAACTTTATCGGAGAAATTTAACAGAGATTGAAATAATGCAAAATTAAACAGAAATTGTGGCACTAAAAAAATATGATAAATGAACTGAAAAATACAGTGAGGAGCCTGAACAGCAGAAAGTGTATCATGCAAAATAATCAGTGAGCTCAAAGACAGACCAGTTGAAATTACACGTAAGAGGAGAAAAATAGAATTAGAAAAAAAGCAAAGATTACAAGTCCTAGGAGACAACATAAACAGAGTAAATGTAAGAGTCACTAAAGATAAAAAGAGACTTGAGAGTGAAAAAGCAGTAGAATATTCTAAATAAATGGAAACCAAAAATGATCATGAATAGCTAGATGTACATCAGGTAGAACAGTCTTTTAGTCAAAAACTATAAAACAAGACAAAGGAGGACTTTTATTTTACTTTATTTTATTGCTTTCTGTCTTTCTGTGTCTCAGGAGAGTGCATACACCCTATAGCAAAAATCTATCTTAAAAAAAAAAAAATGAACTTGGGAGGAATCTGGAACTTCCACATATCAAGGCATGAAAAGATTATAAAAAAATGCTAAACAGATTCAACCCAAATATGACTTTCCCAAGACATATTATAATCAAACTCTCAAAGGTCAAAGACATGAAGAAGATTCTGAAATCACCAAGAGAAAAAAAAAAAAAAAATCAACTTGGAGGAAAGATCTGGAACTTCCACATATCAAGGCATGAAAAGATTATAAAAAAATGCTAAACAGATTCAACCCAAATATGACTTTCCCAAGACATATTATAATCAAACTCTCAAAGGTCAAAGACATGAAGAAGATTCTGAAATCACCAAGAGAAAAGAAACAACTAACTTACAAAGGACTCCTGGTACGCGTGACTGTGGACTTCTCAGAAGAAAGCTTGTAGGCCAGTAAAGGGGAGGGAATGATCTATTGAGAGTGCTAAAAGAAAAAAGACTGTCAGCCAAGAATATTGTAGCCAGCAAAACTATTCTTCATAAATGAAAAGATGAAGAGTTCCCCAGACAAACGAAAGCTCAGAGAACTCATCACCATTCTTCTCCTGCAAGAAACACTAAAGAGAGTTCTCAAATGGAAGGAAAAAAGGCTAAATCATAACAAAACAAAAAATCTGTAGGTATAAAGCACACTGGCAATCTGGCTATAAAGTACCATAGAGAAGATCTTCTTGGGTTGATTCTATTTGGGGTCTTTTGTGTTTCTTGGGTATAAATGTTTGAGTGCTTCTCTAGGTTTGGAAAGTTTTCTTCCAAGATTTCATAGAATAGATTATCAATGCCCTTATTAGTTTCTACACCTTTTGGGATACTGATTATCTGGATGTTTAAGAGTTTAATGGCATCTAGTATTTCTCGTATATTATTCTCATTTGGGGGGAGTTATTTTCCCAGTATTTTTGGTGATTTCTTTCAAGGTCAGAGTTTTTTGTCTTCTACAGCTGAGATTTGATCTTCTGCATGATCTAATCTGCTCTTAATACTTTTGAGGGAGGTTTTGATTTCCAGTATTACAGCCTTCATCTCTAACAGTTCGTCTGATTCTATTTTTTATTATTTTTAAGAGGTTTTTGCTATAGGGCGTGTGTGCTCGTCAGAAAGACAGAGAGACAGAAAGTGAGAAATCACCCCCTCAGGGAGGATGGCCATGCTGCAATCCGTTCTCCTACATTCTCTTCTTGGGATCTTGGGCATGCACGCACACAAGCCCAGCATGAGTTTAAGCCACCAGGTCTGGGACTTGAACCACTGTCGACTACATGGGAGTCCAGGGACATAGCCATTAAGCTAACTGTTGGTCCCATCTGATTCTTTTTTATCGTGTTTATTTCTTCTTTCAAATCATGGAAGGACTTCCTCATCTCCTGGAGCTCATTGTATTTTTTCTCTCGCA